TAGGGGTGCGCTGAATAACTTCCCATCCATGTGGCACAGATTTGAGAGGACAACACACAGGCGGTTGGAGGTGGTTTCTTCCACTATGCTGAGTGCAACTTCCTGTGGACACGTGGCATGAGCAGAGCATGCCAACAAGCTAGTAGTTGGGCTTGTCAACTACATATGTAATGTTGGCACACTTAGTGGGTGCCAACATGACCCTAGGTGGATAGGGGTGTCATCCACCACTTTAGTGGGTAGTTGTGGATGGATGGGGGTGTCATCCACCACTTTAGTGGGCAATTTTGGGAGTTTGCCTATATATTGCTAATGTGGGTTCTGTAGAGAGGGCAGATTGAGAGTGAGACATAGAGTTGTGTTATGAGAGACTCTTGTATACTTCTGCAGGTTGAGGTTTTTCCTTATACTGTTTTGTGAATAATAGTAAAAGGTTGGAAGGCTTGTGCTTCTATAAATTCGTGGGTATTACTACCTTTACATTCTTGCAACTATACTTGTGTGTGAGAGTGTTTTACTTACTGTATGTTATAGGCAGCAAGTGTGAGTTGGCTGAGCTAAGTTAAAAATTCAGAGAAAAGTGTTTCATATTTCTGGCTTAGTGCCATCACAGGCCATTAGATTCGTGTTCAGAATTTACCCCTGTGACACCTACCATGATGCCACTAAGAAAATTATAAAAAAAATTTGCGGTTGCGATTCGGTTTTTGCCCGAATAATGTACTTTGTGTGGACAAACTTTACAAAAAATTTGACCCTTTTCTCTTATGGGTCGTGGATCGGATTATATTACTCTCATGTTCTATAAGAATGTCTAGAGTTTGAAGTGTTTTAAAAGAGAATGGTCATAGTTGTAAATTAGAATGCTCATAAAATGCTCATGACAAGGGTCGGTTTGGAGTTGATACTTGTAATCTTCCATTATGAAATCTTTTACAGGATATAGACTTTATGTCAAACTACGAAAACCTTTTGTATTCTATATACGTGATGTGCTTATTTTTTTATTGATTTTATAATTGTGTTATTGATTCCCGAAATTTTCCACAATAATTTCATCAAATAATCATGAATGATTTGTATATACTAGTAATTTATTTTTTATAAGGAATGGATTTTAGAGGAATAAAAAATCAATTAGTTCCTGCATAATTTTTATATTGTTTCTTCTCTTAACTGGAAACTTGATTGTGTTATAACTATCAGGGTGTCCTAATTCAAAATCAAATTCACCAACTTTTTTTTTTTGGGTAAATAAATAAGTTTTTTTTTTTTATACAGTATTTATATCAAATTCACCATGTTAATAACAAAATAATATAAAAGTTTAACATCACCATGTTAATAACAAAATAATGTAAAAGTTTAATCTAATAAGGAGGTGTGCAACTATAATTATGTATATTGTCAATACAAAGTTCATGATTGCAACAGAGTTGGCGAACACTAATACAATCCACTGGATTTGGGTTTTTTTTTTAATTTTATTTGAAAGGTAGGATTTGGGTTGTTAAAACCAACGCACAAAAGAGAGGCCCAGTTTTGAGGTCCATAACCCAATGAACACATTTAATCATGGCCCTACCCAATTCAAAAGTGACCCTGGTCGGATTAAAGACTGTGAAATACAAAATTGATAGGATGACATAATGTGGAACTGTTTTAGAGATTTTTTTATTATTGCCCCCTCACTCTAAAATTAGGAAAAAATTTCTCTCCTGTTACTCTCAAATTAGGAAAAAAAAATTCTCCAGTTACTCTCTCACTGGATTGGCTCGGCAATTGAGTTAAATTTATATTTACTAAATTTCTAATATATACATTTCGTATACAATATATTTATTATTTAATAAGTTGACTTTCACTTCGTAGATCCTAGTTAATTGAAATTTGAACAAAAAAATAAATAAAAACCCTAAAAAATAATAAGAATCCCCTAGAAAAATATGATGCGTGTATATATATATATTTTATATTTCTTAATTTTGCTTGGCAGACTTTAGTAACATGATTGCCTTGAGCACATATACTTGTATATAAGGAGAGAGGTGGAAAAGGAAAAAATAAAAAATAAAATCAATATTTTTTTTTTTTTAGCCTACATTGTTTTTTTCCAATCATTCTCTTTAAAATTTAAGAATTAAAGTTGTTCAGAGAATTGAGTAATTTGACTAATCTTAATAATTCATAATTGTATAATTTATTTTTCTTTATATTTTTTTTTAGTAGCATGTTTTTTTATACAAACATGAAAAAGAATGAACTCAAAAATAATATTTTTTTTTCTTGAAAACTGCTTGTTTTTATTTGATGTTCCTATGTTATCCAACTTGCCTTTTAGAAGTTCACTAAAATAGAAATTTTTAGAGAACTTACTTCTTTGAAACTCAGTAGAAAAAAAAAAAAAAAAAAAAAAATCAATCGTTAGAAAAGAAAGAAATTGGTTGTTTATATATATATAGAGAGAGAGAGAGAGAAATTAACATACACCATGCTCTTTTTGTGTTCTCTGATTGAAAGCCCTCGAGTCTATGACCCCAAATTTTTATTTTTATTTTTTGTATTTTTAAGCTTCACTGTTTCTCTTAAATTAATAGTAGTTAGTTCTACTTCTACGTAAGAAGTCATGAAGTACTGTTTTAATTTAAACAATATAAATAATTATATTATTAAATTTAATAATTCATCCTTTTATTAAAACTTTGCTAAAAATAGACATCATCAAACACAAATTCATTTATTTATTTTTAGTATTTGAAACCATAAGGATAATTTTGGCATGCACAATCACTTTCTTTTCATTTTCATGTTATCAAAACTAACAAACTAATATTTTTATACAATTTTTCTGAATAAATTTTCATACTAACCAAATGTTCTTTTCATTCACTTCACTTTTCTTTTCTTTTATTTTTCTTACTTATTTCTATCTAACCAAACCAACCTAAATGAAAAACGTTTCACATTTTTGTGAACGAAAGAGAAAACATCAAAGAATTATTTGTGAATAGCTTGATTGATTTGCAATTCGATTTATATGTGTAGACATCAAATGCAGCCACATTGTGATCCGTTCAAGATCACATGTGAATTACAATCGGCTCAGATGGACCTTAAAACTGGGCCTCCCTATGTACACAACCTACTTATATGTGCTTATTATGCACATACATGTCATTATTTTATATTTGTAGGGAAAAAATTATAATATTTGTGCCTATTATAAATGACCATATGACTCGTATGAGTTAGAGGGGTTTTTTTTTTTTTTTTTTTCCTTGGTTATGATGGCCTTTGTTTAATGAAGGAAATAATTGTTGAAATGTGTAAAATTGTGTTCTTTTTGAGGTTTTCTTTTTTCTTTCTTCTTTGCGAGAGTATAGTTATGTTGTGTTTTGGTTTTGGTAAAAAAAATTTAGTTTTTCTATTTGTTACAATTACTTTCTTTTGTTATTTTTATTCAGAATTTTTATTTCAGTCACATTATCTTTCTTTTTGTGTGTTTGATTTTAATTTCTTTGTCTTTGCTTATTAATCTCCTTTTGTTGATGAATACCAATAAATATATATATTTTTAGTTTTTCTACCTCTTGTCAGAAGTACTTTATTTTGTTGTCTTTATTCCGAATTTTTTATCTTTCTTTTTGTGTGGTTGACATAATTTCTATTTCATAAATTGTTTATTGATCTCCTTTTGTATCTCTCTCCTTAATTTCCAGGATAATGAAGAGGTGCCATAGCAGGTTTAGCAGTGTGGAAGCTGTGTCACACAGCGATGAACTTGTAAATGAGATTTTGATTCGATTGCCTCTTTTTGCATGCCAAATCTATATTTTGATAGAAGTTATAATGCCAAAATGTTATATTTTAGCAATTCTGTCTAATAGTGTATTTTATCCGAAATGTTATTTTTGACACAAGAATCTTTATTTTTTAATTATCATTTCCAACTACAATTTTCAACAACAAATTTTTATTTTTTATTTTTTATTTTTAGTTTTTGTATTTTAGTTAGCTTATTTGCCTTATTAAAAATAAATAAATAAAAACACTGACATATGTATATACACACACAAACACAACAAACACACACACACACACACATATATATATATATATAAACACACAACAACAACATATACATTTATATACACACAACACTGACATATATATATATATATATATATATATATATATATATATATATATACAAGCACAACTGATATATATATATACACACACACACACACAAGCCTGACACCAAATTGACCGCCCATGCGAGAGAGAAGAGAGAAGGAAGAGAGCAATAATATATTTGACAATAGATATATGTTGTATTATATTTGGCACAACATTGGCAAAAATATATTTTGGCAGTCCATTTGGCATGTCATTAGAGAGCCCATTTTAAACTCACAGGGTATATTTTGAAAATAACAGCCCAAATAACAGCACATTGGAATTGCTCTAAGTATTGTCCAAATATAAAAAAAAAATAAATAAAAAAAAAAATAGAACCTTAGCCAACTTTTTTGTTCAATCATTCTCTTTAAAATTTAATAATTAAAGTTGTTTAATTCAAATGAATTCTATGAAAATTTGACAATCAAGTAATTTGACTAACCTTAATAATCAATAATTATATAATTTGTTTTTTTTTTTTTGTAATTTTTTTTTAGCAGCATGTTCTTTATACATATTTTAATTTTTATTTTAAAGTGAGATTATTTTGCATTTTATTTTAATTTTAATTTGAGTAAAAAGCTAAAGTTAAATTATATAATAACATATTTTGCATAATATATTGTATAATGTATAATGTATAATGTATAAAATGGTATTCATATTGAGATATATATAAATATATATACACAAAAGTAAAATTATTTAATAATACGTTTGGAAGAGGTGAATCACCACCCTTGGATTGGGTGAATCACCACCCTCGGATGAGTCCAGAGAGAGTAACTGGAAATATAGGGTTGGTACCACCTGTTCCATTCTCTCTCAAAATGCGGAGCCTAGGAAGCCGCCCCTTTCTCTCTTCGTCTCTTCCCATCGAACTCCAAATCAATCCAGTGGGAGGTGTAGTTCATTCGAAGAAACCAACCCACAGTTCTCTCTGATCTGATTCTTCAAGTTCAGGTAATTAATCATAATTTCGATATGTTTGGGGATCCAATTTCACTCTGATCCGATTATTTCTATGGTGTTTTTTTTTTGGTTTTAAATTTGGATGATTTTGTTTTGGGTTTTGTGGTTTAAATTCAATTTGTTGATGAATCGCGCCGATTGGATTTGCAATTTATGGGTAAAAATATTTTCTTTTTTCCTTCTTCTTGAAGTTAAGAATAGAGTTTTGTTGTGTTCTGGTTATAGTGAAAGTTAAGAATTTTGAGTTTAGAATGGAACTTTTAAGATTTTCAATTTGTTGCAGTTACTTTATATTTGAAAGTCACATTATCTTTCTTCTTTGCGTGTATGCAATTTATGGGTAAAAAATTGTTCTTTTTGATATATATATATATATATATACATTTTTTTAGATAGCCCGTCCGGCCAATCACACTATTATTTATTTATTTATTTTGTTTTAAATAAATTCGTTGAGGTCACCACTTTTTTCTTAAGAAATGTAATGTGAATGCATAATTGGTGTATTTACGCCTACTAATAGTTACAAATGAAGGGTGTTATACCTCTTTAATCAGGTAGTGGTTTAAAAACTAAATGAAAAAATTAATTCAAACGTATTATTAAATTTACTTCAAATTTTTATACATATATATTTATTTTTTTATATGATATTCATTAATTTAATTGAAAGAAATATATTTGATTGACTTTTTTTTTCTTCAAGAGCATGCTTTGATCAGAAGAGGATGAGAGATAGTGAAAAATAAAATTGTTGTTAATTCAATGAATGGTTATAACTCTTTAATTCAATATTTGATATATAAAGTGCCATACAAGATAGGAGTTTGTGTGGAAAAAATTTATTGTTATATATATTGTCATTTATGATTTTCTTAATTGGAGTTATAGGTAATAGTAATCTAAGACCTATTAGTCTTTATTGTGTTTGTTCAATAATATTCTTTCGTTGAAACTGTCGGTTGGTGAAATTTCTAAAAAAATTATTCTTATATATATTATCATTTATGATTTTCTTAATTGGAGTTATAGGTAAAAGTAAACTAAAACCTATTAGTCTTTATTGTGTTTGTTCAATAATATTCTTTCGTTGAAACTGTAGCTTGGTGAAATTTCTACACGCTATGAAGTTTCTACAAGAAGTTTCTTGGAAGTAGGGAGGATAAATGACATTAAAGCAACAAAAACCATATGTGGAGAACTATACAAGCTTCGATGTGCCCTGCTCCCTGTATTTTTTCTTGAAATGATCTAGTGCTGTTTTGTTTTTGCATTTTATCTCAGTTAATCTGACATGCACCACATCTTGTCTTTCTGGACAACCTTTAAAAAACAAAAAAGAAATTATAAAACATTTCAGCAAGAAATTCAATATAATTGTATTTGAAATTGGAATTAAATTAGTCACCTCAACTTACCATTACACCAAAGCCCCGCCTATTATTGCAAAAAAAATTCAGTCAGTTAAGAACTTGACTGAAAAGAATGAGAATGAAATGCCATAATAAAAAAGTACTTACTCCAACCGCACGAGATCTTTAAGCCCATAGTCCTCTGCACCTAAGAGTGTTGTAAAAAGCTCCTAGGTAACATCTGGTGCAGAGGACTATTGGCTTAAAGATCTCGTGCTCCAGCTGCACGACACCATCTGCACGAGATCTTTAAGCCCATAGTCTACCTCGGTGCTTTCTACAACACTCCAGGTGCAGAGGACTATGGGCTTAAAGATCTCGTGCTCCAGCTGCACGACACCATCTGCTCCAGCTGTTGGAGTAAGTACTTAATTATTATGGCATTTCATTTTCTTTATTTTTAGTCAAGTTCTTAACTGAGTGAATTTTTTTGCAATAATAAGAGGGGCTTTGGTGTAATTGTAAGATTGGGAAAAGAACTTTGGGGTGACTGATTTAATTCCAGTTTCAAATATAATTATATTGAATTTTTTGCTGAAATGTTTTATAATTGTCGTCCAGAAAGACAAGAAGTCGTGTTTGTTAGATTAATTGAGATAAAATGCAAACTTGAGAACAAAACAGCACTAGATCATTTCAAGAAAAAAAAAATGTTGTGAGGATTCTTGATGGTCCTTGCAAGGTGAGAACCTCAAATCTTTGTTGTATTTATTAATATTAATTGTTCTATAGTAGTCTTCAACACTATTTCTGTCATATATAGGGCCAGCAAGGTTCGGTTGAACATATATATAGAGGAATTCTGTTCATCTACGATCGGTACCATCATGAAAATGCTACGTCTATAATCCCGTCACAAACCAATGGTTAACTCTTCCTGAACCAAGACATGCTCCATTCTTAGAGGCTCTCTCTTGTGAGGAATGTAGCAGCAAAGATGGTGATGGTGTAGTGCATTTCAAAGTAACCATAGCTATTATGAAAAGGATAGTGGGAGCCACATATGACAGATTATATATAGAAACTTTCTCTTCTCGTACAGGCAAATGGAGCGAATCATGTCTCACTTCTCCATCTGAATTTTCAGATGACAACGGCGGAGTCCTAACTTTGTCATGCAGTAGGTGGGATCTTGTACTGGAAAGTTAGTAGTGGTCATTTGGTTGCTTATGATCCCAACCTGAGGGAAATTCGTCTCTGGCTGATAGAGTTGCCTCGTCCCTGTTGGAAAAAGAGGAAGGGATTCTATATGGAATATATCTTGGGACACTTGTCGGCAGCGGATGGTTGTCATCTTCGGTTTGCCATAAGTGAAAACTGATAGTGTGGGAGCTCAAAAAGCAGCTTTCTAGTTATAGTTGATCAAGCATCAGACCAAGTAGTGAATGGGTGTTGAAGGAAGAAGTGAGTCACAAGAAGTTGGGCATCGGTAATTCTCCTTCTCACATTCGATTGATAGAATTTCATCCTCGCAATGCAAAACTTGTGTATCTTCAGAGGGAAAGCATGTTGCTATGATTTTGAGACGAGAAGATTGGAACCTTCAGTATCATGGAAATGGAACTGGCAAACGACAGAGTAGTTCCTTGCTTCCAACCACCTTGTCGCCCCTTCTTTGCCTTGTTTAGCCGGGTCTGCCCAGACTTAACATAATGTAACCTTGTACTATATTATATATTCAGATTTCAATGTATATTACCTTACATTATAAGCTTTTTTTCTATTGAGGTGCATTTGGTCTTAATGGTAAAAATGTATAGAATGCTTGGGTTTCATCTGGGAGAGTTATGGATGACATAAAGTCTAAGAAGAAGATGAGTAATGCTGCTATCTGTATCCCATGTCCACAATTGTAAAATAAATGATGGAAGGAAGCAGGAGGAGGGGTGGGATAAAACTGACTTAAAAGGGTAAAATGGTAATGTACGATGAAATTTTTGTTAAAATAATAAGTAAACGTGTCATGGTAGGGTCCGTTTTAAAAGTGCAAAAATCATGTTTTGGCAACCAGAGTTCTTTGCTTTTGCTTAGACTCCAAACTGAAGCAGCAATGTTTCTGCATTAAGAGTGTATTTAATACTATTTAGAAACTTGTTTGGTAACGTAAATTTGTTACAAGATATTTAGAAACAAAATTATGAAAGTATGTTTGATAAAAAGTGTTTAAGTTTGAAAATTTGAATGGTTAGTTAAAAATATTATTTTAGAATTTTTTATTTATTTTTTTGAGCAGTGTTTTGTTACAGTGTGGAAATAAACAAAAATATCATTTTAATGCTTTTAATTTTGGCCTCAATTTTGGAGTGTTTCGGTACTATTCAAAAGCACAACAAAAATACACGAAGCAAAAGCACTAGCCAAACAGACCTTTAGTAATTTGTTTTTGTTTTCTCTTAGGTGTTTGGTCAGATGGAAGTAGCCGGAAAGGAAAATAAAAGGAAAATTTGTTAATTTTTTAAGAGTTTGGTTGGAATGAAAGTGAAAATTTGAAGAAAGTAACTTTCCCGCAAGTTGTTGATTTTCTTTGAAATATTTCCGGCATAAAATACTAGAAAATTTCACTTTCTCGTGAAAGCTGTGACTTTATATTTTAACTTCCTATTATACCCCTTATCAATTGGTAATTTGTATATGTGATTAACTCTTTATAGACTTCTAAAATATTTGTATAAGGCAATAACTTTGTGTTACTATGTATTTTTGAAGTAAGCTTCTAAAATTAACTACTAAAACTTTTCTAATTATATTATAATTCTTAATAATTTAATAATTTATCATTATTTATTTATTTAGTTTTTAAAAATGAAGATAAATAATTGAGTAAGGGGAGTAACACAATTTGTGTTTTTTAGTATTTAAAATTATAAGGGTAATTTTGGTAAGTACAATAATTTTCTTTTCTATTTTTTGTTTTCCAAATTAATAAAATAATATTTTTCCACAAATCCTCCTAACCAAATGTTTTGGTAAGTACAATAATTTTCTTTTCTATTTTATGTTTCCAAACTAATAAAATAATATTTTTTTCACAAATTTTCTTCCTAACTAAATGTGTGCTAGAAACTTGATTTTCTTATCATATACTTTACTTTCTTTCACTTTCACTTTATATCATAAATTTACATCTAACGAAATGGACAATAGGTTTCATTTGGTTAGATAGAATTAACTAGAAAAGAAAATAAAGAAAGGAAGGAGAAAATTTTAAAGTTTTTTTAGAATTTGGATAAATGGAAAAAGTTTTTTTTAGAGTTTGGATAAATGAAAAAAGAATGATATCAAAACATTTCTCACACAAAAGACGAAAAAAGAATTGCATGCAAAAATAATATTTTCTCGTGAAAACTTTTTCTTTTTATTTGATGTTACTATTTTATCCAACTTGCCTTTTAGAAATCCATTCAAATAAAAATTGTTAGAGAACTTGCTTCTTTGAAACTCAGTAGAAAAAAAAATCGTTAGAAAAGAAAGAAATAGGTTGTTTATATATATATATAGAGAGAGAGAGAGAGATAGATATGTTGAATTAAGGAATTCAAAGATTTCTAGAATGTCAAATGTTTAAATTAGGTGTGTCAAAGATTGTATATTTGACCATATATAGAAGATATTCTAGGGATTGTGTTGCTTGATTCTAGGGATTATGTCTAAAATCAAGCTTATAAATACTCTGTAAAATTCATGAAATGATATGAATGAAATACAGTTCATCAAATTAAACATGGTATCAGAGCGTGGTTCAAAACCCATTTGATTCATTGTTCTAATTTTTATTTTTATTATTTTTTATTTTGTTCAAAACCTAGAAATTCATAGCCATCCTCAAAACCTAAAACCAAGAAATCCACAAGAATTTGGAGTTTAAAACCCATATCGGCATATCATTTTAGATTATTCAAAATAAAAAATAAAAAAAAAATCATCAAAACCCATATTCTTCATTGCACCTGTCTTGTCTCTGCCGCTGCCATCACTAAACCAAGCCGAAACCACCGTTGTGAATCGCTGTCGTGAACTACCGCCGGTCGCCCTCCACGGCTGTGATACCCCTCAATTCTAGAGTCACGGGTGATCAAGTCTGAGCACAGATCCGAGGGATACCAAACAATTAAGTATATAAATAAGCATTTGAATACAAAAAAAGAATAATAAATAAATAAATAAATAATAAGCTGAAGGAAACTAAATAATAAATCCTTATTTTAAAATCCTCAAATAAATAATAATGAAAAATCCAACAATAAAATCTTCCAATACTCAGATATTAGTAATTAATTAAACTACAACTCGGGAATCCATATTGTGGACCACTAATAATATCCTAACTGAAATAACTGAACTGAAATAAAACTAATAATTAAATCAAGAAGAAGAGTCTTACATAGAGTCGGAAGAGTGAATGACTGTTTCTGCTCGGCACGAACAATCTCTAAGACTGGAATTGACGAACACCTGAAAAATAATGGTGGGTCAGGCCCACACACAAGTTCTAATCTACTACATCCTAAACAGAGACCCGATACACGTACTCATCCTAATTAATTCAACAATAACTAAATAGTCCATAAATAGATATATACCGACTAAAGGAACCTCATTAGACTATAGAGTTGTCTTAACCTGAATAGTAGGCAACATGCAAAACGCACATATAGTGGGTATGAGTACCTAGACCTACAAGGGTACACAACTACATTATATCTAGCTACACATCCCTGGCAATATACGCACCCTAACCACTGATCATGAGGCTCAAGCTTATATTATGGCGTATAATTCTTATATGTAAAATCCGTCCTATCCAACCATCAAAATAAACTATCTAATTATTTTTCAATAATATGTCATCCAACTATTCCGTTGACCTGACACGAATAAGTAGGACTTAACACTGTGGTTAACCCGTTCCCTTATTGAAAATAGGTAGGACTTAACTCTTAAGTTAATCCGTCCCTAATATGCCCCCATCCCATAATGGTGTATTAATACATATCATAATCAAATAAAAGTTTCAAACCCAAGGATAATGTAAATAACGTTTACATATAATAATCCAAATCAATTTTTTTATAAATCATATACACATCCTTTGCATTTACTTGAGCAAAAATATAAATTCTAAGTAGCATGTATTTAATTTACATCACAAAAAATTAACATGCATCTCAACTAAATTGTACATCTCCATATTCTGATTAAATTAATTTAAATCTAAATAATTGATTAAAATAATTTAATCCACCAATATTTAATTAATTTATCATTTTAAAAATTAATTAAATTCTATACTTTGCATGTAAACTTAAATCATGCATTCCAATTCTTAATTAATCTATTTCATTAAATAAATATTTAATACTCAACCAAAAACCACAATATTTGTTTAATATTCCAACAATTTAAAGAATTACTTAATCCCATTAAACAATATTTGTTAATCAATTTAATCCCATTAAATTGATTGTTAATATTCCTTCCTCGTTCAGCGTGCATTGAATAAAATGAATTCTTATAAACTGATGGACCATTCTTTCTAAACTAATGCTTACCTAAATAAACAATCTAATCCATTAACAAACCGATGCCTTTTCAAAGCCTCGTTCGGCGTGCGTAAAGAAACTCAAATTTGACTTCGTACATGTACACAACACAATTTGGTTTATGCTAACAATAATTCCTCGATCGGCGTGCATGAACAAAATATAAAATTTGATTTCATCTAACATGTATAAATTGTTTCATGGTAAAAGAAATTCTCTCGTTCGGCGCACATTATAAATCAAATTTAGTTTCATCTAAGTTATACAAACTACTTCATACTAAACACATAATATATTACAACACATGATTAAAACACATGAAAAATTAATTTATCAAAATATAAAAATTCATCACAAACCCACTATTAAAACACATGAACTGAAATTTCAAAATAAATCTACATAATCAGGTCCAATTAATTTATTTAAAGAACCTAGAATTAATCTAGCATGTATAGGGTATGAGTCAAAGGAGAAGAGAATAATTAAAACTTGCCTTTAGGGATTTGAGAGAAAAAACTCTAACCTCCTTCTTCCTTTTTCTCTTACTTCGTCTTCCTTCTTTCTCTCTCTAAAAATATATTACGTGATATATTTTCTAGCCCATTTTTCTAACCTATAACTATATATTTATAGACTAAATAAAGTAACCTAATCTTTTTCCCAATCCAAGTCAACTTAACAGAGAAAATAATAAATTTTAAAAAAGTAATTGAAATATATGTTACGTATAATCTATGTATATTCCTTTTTATATATAATATATAAATATACACCAGATTATTACTAAAGGACTTTCCTAATATATATAACTTCCCTTTCTTCCCAAAGCGCGATCGGTAATCACGAATGGACCCACAAATCGTGGTGATAACTTCCCTTTCTTCTCAAAGCACATTACACTTTCATAGGAGACACTATGAGTAGAATCTGATCCCTAACCTGAAACTCCAATGCACGAGTACGACGATCCGCGTAACTCTTCTGCCTACTTTGGGTAGTGCACATGCGATCCCTAATAAGAACAATCTTCTCAGAAGTATCCTTAATGAACTCAGGACTCAAAAATCTGCTCTCGCCAACCTCCATCCAACAAATAGGAGATCTATATGGTTGGCCATATAATGCCTCAAACGATGCCATACCAATAGTCTTCTGAAAGCTATTGTTATATGCGAACTCCACAAGTGGCAAATACTCCTCCCAATGGACC